ATTTATGAAAAAAAAGAAACATTATGTCTTCAATGATTAATGTCGTGTATGCAAAACGGTCGCTGTTCGACATTCTCATCTCTGCGTTGTGTCTTTCTCGCCTCATTCATTCTTTCATGCGCACCAGTGTTCTTGTACTTCCAGCATTGGTTGGAGTTTCAGTTTCTCAGTTTCGTCTTCATTCCAAATAAACCCGCATGGTTTATGGTAATGTGGAGGAAGAAAAAAATGCCTTCAAATGGTATGGCACTTACACACACATCACGTACCGACCACCACAATATATATGTGCATTTAACAGTTTATATTTTATGTACGCCTACGTATTTATACCGTAGTATTATAAACATATATTAGGAAAATGAAAGCCGAAGCAACCACATGGCCGTAGCATTGTTGATTGCAGCAACGAGCTAGCGCTTTTTGGTAGTCTACAACTTTTCTCTCGATATGCGTTTCGTCTTTTGTGTATTGTTGCATAGCCTTTCATTGTGATTAACCTAAGCGGTTACAGTTGGAGTTTCCATTTACATGCGCCTGAGCATAATACCCATGTATGCAACAATCTTTATTCAGCCTAGAGCTTTATGGATTTAGAAAAAAAAAGAAGAACATTCACCGAACGTGAACGTGAACGTGAAATGTTAAACGTGAACGTATTCGGCAACGTAACGCAATGCCGAAGTAAAACAAGGGAAAATTGTTTAAATTGTAAACATCTCGGCAATGCTTTGCGAAATATTTCTCGAACAAGGAACGGAAGCAGCCAAAAAAAAAACGATACAGAAAATATGCTTTCGCTGTATACATACATATATGCTTCTTTTTGCTTCCGTTGGCTGACATTGTACGCGATTCATGGAGAATACTTGAATTCAGGCTTGCGGTATACTTTAAAACGTTAATTTCGGATCAACGCGAACAAAAAGGAATCCAACAAGGACCAACTAATTTACATGCTGACGCGAGTAAACACTAAGAGTAAATGAATTAGAGTATTTCCTTAAGAGAACGGATGAAAAGATATTTATGTAGTGGCGTTTGTCTGTTGCATTTAACACACAAAAGGAGTCGAAAGATACATTGTTGCGCAACTTTGAAGCGATTGGCTGGAACCGAATAGAGTAGCACAACATCCTAATCCTATCGCGGATATGAATATTGAACAATCCACTGTTTATTTACGTTACCTTTACCGTTTAATTCTAATTCTTTTTCTTGTTTTTGCTGGTGAGGTGATTATTACATCCGATATCAACGGAATTCCGACAATCAGTCTTGACACACAGTATGTAAAAGCATCAAACGCAAACCGAATCCAAATACGTAAGAAGATGCATTTTCGCAGTTAAACGCTTTTGAAACATTCTTCAAGTTTAAACTTTTGTCATGAACAACGAAAAACGAAAAACCGTTCGCCTGAAAAGTTTAATGACGCTTGACTGTTTTATCAATTGAATCGATGGTGTGGCTCAACATCGGATATGTTCCAACACTTTTTTTTTCGTCTACCTTCATTGACATTTGAACAATTTATGTCAAAGATTACGGAATAGTAGCAAGTTGTTGATTTCAGTGTTATCAAACAACCAATTAGAGTGCTGCTATTCATGTGTCATGGTATTGTTTGGTTGAAGCGGAGGCGCGATGGCGCGCATCTGCACATGAAAATGATCTTTGTAAATCTTATCAAATGGATTTCGCGTTCATTGCATTGGTTCATATGACTGTATGTGCAGCATGGAAATGTATACATCGAAAATTAAATCGACTGATTTCAAGCGTATTGAAATTCTCTTGCTTCAATTTTCGTTTGATTCGCTGTGTGTTTCTGTAAATACGAGCCATGTGCGCGTCAACGAAAGCATTTTGTCTTCCGAACGGGAAAAAAAAGATTGCTCAGCGAACAATTTTTCAATGAATGAGCATGCCAAATACACAAAACCGTTTCTGCATTTAATTGAATTGAGATGTTATTCAAGTTAGCAGCGAAACCCATTCAAGAAAAACTTTTTTAATACAACACATTTTCCGACTTTTTCCCTTTTGTCTGTGTCTCTTCCATGCTGCCGATCGCACTTTGTCCCACTCACTCGCGCGCCCGTTTCCTATTTTAGCTCCACTGTTTCACGCTGGATACTGTACTGCTGCTGCTGTTGTTGTTGTTGTTTTTTCTTCGCAATGTAAGTTTGCGCTTCTTCATTGGCCTTGCCGCCTTTGTGCCAAACACACAGCATTCAGTGTAAACAGTGCACAGGTTCATGTAAAGTCTCTATTCAGTGCCAAACTAACAAAATCACCATGTTTCAGGACACGTATGCCAAATGCTACTTGCTTCTGAATCCACTGATTTTCATCCAACCAAAGCGGCTTATGAACATTCAAACATACACTGCATACGTCTAGTTAGTTCAATTTGATTTAAATAACACAATCTCTTCCCTTCGGTCGATGGAAATTGCGAGCACCGAGCATAAAAGTGCAAAGATTCAACAATAGTCAAATTCGGCGAGTGTGCATGTGTATGATGTGTGCAAAAACAAATGAACCCACGGAATCAACACACTCGTACACGTAAATTAACTTTCAAATAAAATGTTTACTATGAAATAAAACAAAAGGAGTAAGGGCGAATACACACACATAGATTGAGAGAGGGGGGAGAGAAAGAGAGAAAATTGAAAACGAAGAAGAACAGAGTGAGCAAAAAGAATGTGCCGTTTGCATTCAAAAGAGCAGTTAATTTGCAACATTGGCAAGAGTGCAGGGCTCAAGTAACAATAAAAACTTTTCAGCTTGTTTCTTTGATTTAAATGTAAGCGATCAACGACGAAAGCAAAGAGAGAAAAATGCCAGAAAAAGAATGTTGATGCAGTTAGATTAAGCTTGAGCTTGGTTGCTTCCTCTTTGGATTGTTGTACTCATTTTGCAAGCAGTGAATGGAATGGAGCTGAATTTTTAATTGCAACGGTTAAGTTTGGCGTCGAATATGTTAATTTAATATGGATCGTGCACACAAAACGACCAACATTCTGTGATTGAATATTATTTGATTAGACTGACAGTCTAAGACTGTGAATGAGCTGTGCCCGCATCACATTCGATGATATGTGCGAATGTAATTTAAGACAAAGCATTTAGTGAAGCGCACATTCACCGTCTGCCATGGTTAAACATCCATGATAATCGTTCAATTATTGAACTGGTCGTAAAACTTCTGAACTGAACATATCAAATAATAAAATCTGTTCGCTTTTTCTTTCACGTCATGGGTCAAAGAATTCATGGGTCCAATGCGTGATTTTCCTGGTTTTCCGCTGCCCGGGCCCAAATGGTTTTTGATGAATTGACTCGATCGGAAGCGATATAAATGAAGAGTCGACTTATAATCGCATACTTCCAGTCGAAGCCATAACTAACCAACCACCACCACCACAAAGGCTGGATATGCAAGGGCACAAAGCAATTTCCGCTGGATTCGTGGAAAACGGTTTGACCGCCGTCTTTTTTCACATTCCCATCCCATTGCTCATTCACTCACTCTCTCTCTCTCTCTCTCTCTCTCTCTCTCTCTCTCTCTCTCTCTCTATCACTGTATGTGTGTTTGCCTCTCTATCTCTCTTAGATTGCCACTGCTGCAGTTGCGTCACGCACAAGTGAAACAACGATCCAATGATATGTCAATGTTTTAACATGGGTTTTTGGATGCCATAATCAACACCATTATTCGATATGTTGTTGTTTCTGTTTTTGTGTGCATAATCTTTTGTGATTACATGATGGGCGTCCGAATTGGCCAAAAAGCAGTATTCCCAATATTTTATTCAACTGTTGAGTCTAGTGGATGGAAGCATGAAATCATGATAAAAATGGTCGCATACACAAGCCATGGGCTATCATTTGAACGTGATCGTTCGTAGTCCGATTATCGGTCATCATAAATGCATCAACCCATTTTACCTTCATTTATATTTGATGACATTTAAGCGGTGGCCAGGATTAAAATTCATTTTCATTTGGTACATTCCAACGGTGAATTATACAGAAGAGCTTCTCAAACAGATGAAATGCCTATAAATGTGACGAATAAAAATTCACACAATTTCCTCTAAAAGGCCAAAATGAGCATATTTTCAATAACATCCTAACAGTTTTGCATGAATAAATTGAATGCAGTCAGCAGATTTAACAGGTCTTTGTTGATTCAATTAAAATTGAAACGAAAATACACAGCATTGAAGTTGATTGCTTAAAAATGAAAAATGAGACAAATAAAAACAGAACAAAAAATAAATAAATTTAACATTAACACACCAACAGCTGCTGTTAAACAGATCTGTTCACCAGCAACGCTACATAGCCAGCAACTTCAATGTTCTGCAAAAATAAAACATGCAAATGCCCAAATTGTGTATGTGGATTTCAGATTAGAGTGAAAAATCATCAAGATGAATATTCACATGAGTCTTTTCATTATGAAACTCTAACTTTCTCCAGTGCCGTATTTCGGCATGTCTATCAGAAGTTTTTCCATATTTTTGTTGGACTGGCAGTGCATTCGCATTATTTATTCCTCAAACAATGTTGAAGCTAAGCTAAGCAAATCAATGCACCGAGACGAATGTGTAAAATATCGTCCAAATATAATGGAAGCATAAATCGGATTTATTGCATTGAGCTATGGATGATAGCAAGCGTTATAGCATGTTTGTGTGTACATGTATTTACTTTGTCCCCAAGTTAATATTTAAATTGCGTGTGTTGTATGCTATAAGGTAATCGGCTACGAGAGTTTATCCAATCCATTCGATGGCAAGTAAACTGTGTTTTTTTTTCGTTCTGTTTATTTTTAATTCTTTCTTCGCAAACAAACATTGAACTCGCACCAACGTCCTTTATCTGTGCGTCTAAATATAGTTGAAAGTTGGCGCTGACCACTCCGGTTTTGTGAATAATGTTGGAAGTGGTTTAACGTTTGTAAATTGAAGCAGTAGTAAATAGACAACGAACCAGCATTTGATCTGTGAGTTGGTTATGCTACAACTCATCGATAGTTCAGGTTTATCTCAATTACTTGATATACCACGAGTCTTCTTCATTTTTCACTTTGTCTCTCTTTCCAAACTGGTTTGTGATTCTAGACACTCTTAGTCGCACCAAGAACCTGAAGAAGTGTAATATTTTCTTTGGTTTGGTTTTATATCTCTCTCTTGCTATTTCTCGTTTGTCGTTCATTACACTTTCATCGAGACGTTCAGTCATTGTTGAAATGTTGCGCAAGTTGCTCTTTATTTTGTGTGTGCTGCTTCCACTGTTTGGAATTAGTCACTGTGATAATGGGTATAGAAAGGAATGTCGATAATGATATATTTGGGTGTAAACATTTTTTCTTTCTAAATTTTTTGTTTGTAGTTTCTATACAATTGTGGCATCGGAGAATATTCGTCCAAATTCTGACTATCGGGTATCTGTATCTATCCATAATCAAACCGAACCGGTAACCATAAAACTGAGCATTGAAGATGACGACGATACAATAATTACGAAAGATGTAACACTTTTGTCTGATGAAACCAAATTGGTTGTACTGCCGGTGGACGATTTGATCGTAAATAATAACTTTAAATTTACGGCCGAAGGCATTTCTGGGATCATTTTCAAGAATTTAACATTGTTGAATGTTGAATCGAAAAACTGTTCAATTTTCATTCAAACTGATAAGGCCATTTACAAGCCGGGCGAGTCGATAAAATTTCGGATCTTAGTTCTTGACTTCAATCTAAAGCCGGTTGGTTTAGAAGATGCCCATTTAAAAGTGTTCATAACGGTAAATATTATAGTTTGGTTGTGCAAATTTACAGTATTCATACTTGTGTGAGTCGAATGTAATTTGATTGATGTGCAACCGTTTACTTTGCAGGATGCCGAAAAGAATCGTATAAAGCAATGGAAAGAGAGCCAATTAAATACGGGTGTTTTTTCAGCTGAATTGCCACTCTCAAGTCAGCCGGTGCTTGGGGATTGGACAATTACGGCTGAAATCGGTGAAGAGGTAAAGTTTCAAGTGGATTGCCACTTCATTATATATGCAAATAAGTAACTGGCTAATGTGAGGTACTAAAATGTGTATGCACATTTACTCAAGCACAGGTGAAAAGTAAAACACTTCAAGTCGAAGAGTATGTGTTGCCGAAATTTGATGTTAAAATCGATTCATTGGAGCACTTTAATGTTAAAGATGGCAAAGTACGTGCAATAATTCGATCGAAATATACGTATGGCAAATTGGTGAAGGGTCGTGCAACCGTAACGGTAAAGCCAACCAGTTATCTTGCATGGTCGACGCGCCGCGAAACAGACACAGTCGCTAAAACCATTCCCATTGATGGCAAGGGCACCATTGAATTCGATATTACCGATGATTTACACATTCAACCTGATGAATTTAAACGGAGCACAACATACGCTCTGTCAGTTGTCGTTGTCGAAGAATTGACAGGTATGCTTGCTGGAATACTTGAGAATCGGATTGTTTTGGAATAAAGAGAGAAAGAGAACGAAAATTGTTTGGTAGCAATATGCGAATTAATGAAAATACCTTTTTTAGGTCGTAATCAAAGTGCATCGAAGGATATAACGATTCATCAGTTGCGGTATAAAATCAAAGCGGTAGATCTCGATCCACAATTCCAATGTGGCATACCCGTCAAAGTGTTGGTGGCTGTCACGTATCAAGACGATAAACCCGTTCGAGTGAACGATGCCAACAAGGAAATTGTTATTTCGAAAATACCAAATAATAAAAACCTAAGCGAAACGTACACCAAGCACGAATTAGCTAGCAATGGAACAATGCTGCTGAGCATGCCGACATCAAAAAAAGACGAAAGCGGTTTCATATTGAAGGTAAGGTGTATCGAAGAGGGAGGAAGAGGAGGGCAGAAAGAGATAGAGATGTTGGCGAATCTTTTGTGAGACCATTCCATTTTGTTGCTTAGCATCGTAGTTTATTTCGAATATACGATACTTTTTCAGGCAAAGTACATGGACGAAGAAGCTGAGATTGGATACCTGTTTCCGACCAGCAATGTTGAACCAACAAATTTGGAGATTAAAGTATTAACAAAGAAGTGTGTGTTCGTTTACCAAATGCAGAAATCGTGACCTGCACAAATCCATACACAAAACTAAAACAATGCTAAAACATTATCCATTGCAGGCCGACTTTAAACCAAGAAATATTCGTTGAGATACAGTCAATCGACATTCTCGAACGTTTCACGTACCAAGTTATCAGCCAGGGTAGACTTATTTACTCCGACAGTTTGGATGTGCCGCAACGAAATTATCACGTCTTTCACTTTTTGGCGACATTTGATTTGTTGCCGACGGCACATCTTATTGTCTACTACTTTAAAAATGACGACATCATTTCCACCAAGATGGACATTGACATCCGCGAAAATCTGAACAATTTCATCAAGCTAAAATTGTCGGAGTCAAGCATTCAGCCGGGTGAAAGTGTGAATATTGGCATTACAACTAAACCTAAATCATATGTTGGGCTACTCGGCGTTGATCAAAGTGTTTTGTTGTTGAAGAAAAATAACGATTTAACGACCGATGATGCCTGGAACGAACGCGAATTGTATCAATATCAATTCCATGAGCGGAATGCCAAATCCAGCCTTGGCCATTCACCGTACTTTTATAACAAATACTGGGGTGATTTTCAGGTAAACCGAACATGCACACACGTAAAACAAAATGACCTCAATTTCAATTTCAATTTTTTGTTTCTATTTTGCAGTCAACTCGTATGATTCTATTTACAAATGCAAAACAAGATGGTAAAATAACGTTCAATGCTCATCTCCATCGTTCTTTGTTTGTTTTTTTCGTTTTGTTAGATTTGAAAATCGATACGTACATTTCTTTCAGTTTATCCGATAATACGTGAATATGACAAGCCGGTTCTGTTCAACAAAGCCGGTGTTGTGTCTCATACGGAAGCCCTAAGTTTTTCTGTTTATGCAGACCAACCCGGCAAGATTCAAAGACATCCATCACAACCTCCTGTCGCTGCCCCGTCACATGTTCCAAAAGTTCGAAAAGATTTTCCCGAAACATGGCTTTGGCAAACAATTAACATCGATGAGTAAGTAATGAAACAACTGGTTTCTCAATCGTTGAAAAAAAGAAGATTTTCCATTCATTTGTTTTCGGTTGGTTTTAGTTTGAATGGAACATTTACATTGCAACAAAATGTGCCCGACACCATCACGTCTTGGGTAATCAGTGCTTTTTCCGTTAATCCGATGGCTGGTCTTGGGTTGACAAAAACGCCGCGTCGTTTGGAAGTATTTCAACCGTTTTTTGTGTCATTAAATTTGCCATATTCCATCAAGAGAGGTGAAATATTAACAATTCCTGTTGCAATATTCAATTATATGGAAGACATTGATGCCGATACGGATATTACAATTCACAACAGCGATGGAGAATTCTACTTCATTGAGGACAATAACATTGTGTCATCGGAATTGGAGCGCACAACAAAGCTTTCGATTGTAGCAAATCATGGAGCAAGTACATCGTTTAAGATTCGGCCAAAAAAAATTGGTGCGATTGCAATAAAAGTCACAGCAACATCACCGCTTGCGGGCGATAGTATCGTACAGATTTTGCATGTTGAACCGGAAGGAATACCGAAATTCAAGAACACAGCACTCTTTGTCGATTTAAATGAAGCCTCATCGCTCGAATCAATGCTAACTGTTAACGTTCCCGATGACATAATCATGGACTCGTTAAAAATCGATGTAAATTGCGTGGGTGATTTGTTGGGTGGAACGATAAAAAATCTCAACAAATTGATTCGCTTGCCATCCGGTTGCGGTGAACAGAATATGTTGAATTTTGTACCGAACATTGTTATTTTGAAGTATTTGAAAGCCGTCGGTCAGTTGAAGCCAGACATCGAACGAAAGGCAAAAATGTACACCGAAAAAGGTTATCAGCGGGAGCTCACTTATCGACACAACGATGGTTCGTTCAGTGCATTTGGGAAATCGGATAAAAGCGGCAGCACTTGGCTCACAGCGTTCGTGGCGAAGTCCTTCAGACAGGCGGCCACATTCATTGATGTCGACGAAAGTATCATTGACGACGCACTGAAATGGTTGAGCAAAAAACAAAACAGCGACGGAAGCTTCACAGAGATTGGCACTGTGTCACACAAAGCCATGCAAGGTGGATCCGGCAAAGGCGTCGCCCTTACCGCATACGTTTTGACGGCATTTTTGGAGAGCAGAGACGTTGAAACGACTTACGATCAAACTATAGATAAAGCCATTGAATATGTGATAAAATCACTCGAGGCACAGCACGATATATACGCCCTGGCTGTGGCTGCATATGCAATGCAATTGGCAGAACATCCAGACAAGGACAATATTTTGGATCAACTACTGAGAAAAGCCGCCACCAAAGGTAAATTGAAATTTCAAATTCACATACAAATCATGTAGACAAGGCAAAAGAGATCAATTGAGTTGATGCTATGCCGATTTCACATGTCATTGTCGACATCCGACAAGAGTGTGCTTCAGTTTTTTTTTTCACCTTGAAAGCATTTTTTTTTTTTCGAATTGCCGTCAACATTTTTTTTGATGATATTTATCATGATATTTTAAATTAGATGATTCGAAATGGTGGACTATAGTTGTGGCGCCCAAAAATAACATAAATAAATCATCGAAAACGTTAAACATTGAAATTACTTCGTACGGTTTGCTGTCAATACTTGAGAATGGTCGATTTGCCGATGGATTTCCATATTTCAAATGGTTGCTCAATCAACGGAACAATAAAGGCGGATTTGTTAGTACACAAGATACAGTGATGGGCTTACAAGCATTGGCAAAGTTTGCTGAACGAATCTCCATCAAAGATAATAACATACAAATTATGGTGAAAACGGATAATTTGCTCAACGATACCACCCATCATTTTAGCGTTAATCCAGAAAATACCTTGATTTATCAAACGTACGAATTACCATCCACCGTTCGTGCAATCAATATAACAGCGAATGGTCATGGTTTTGCTTTATTTCAATTGTCCTATAATTATCACACAAATAAAACCGACATGGATCCATCGTTCAAGCTAAAAACCAATATTCTAAACAACACGAATGAAGCATTCCTCAAGCTACAAGTTTGCGTCACGTAATTATGATTTGCGTTTGCTTATTGGTATATGAATAGAATCGGGGCAATTTTGCTCAGCTCCATTTGCGTGTACATTTTTTTCAGCAATCTGTTATCGTATTTCATGTTCCTACTAATATCAATCATCTGTCGGTGATTTTGTTTTGCTCTTTGGTTTTTTTTCTTCATACATTTGTAATTTCCAAATCATTTTGAAATCTGATCAACATGAGCTGACTGGGGAAATTACACGTACATTTGTGCTGTAGCACAACAACATTCGACATTGATAAAAATTGAACTTTCTATTGTTTAGATATGAACCGATCAAAAGCAAAGAGAGTCGAACAAATATGGTTATCTTGGAAGTGACATTGCCGAGTGGGTACGTTGCTGAATCTGATACGTTGATCAATGTGTCCAATTCGTATAATGTGAAAAAAGTTGAAACGAAAAATGCTGACACCATTTTCGTTGTTTACTTCGATAATTTTGAGACAAACAAGGAGATTTGCCCTGTATTTGACGCATTCAGAGCACACAAAGTGGCGAAACAAAAGCCAGTGTCCATCGCTATTTATGATTACTATGACAGTCGTGAGTAAAATGGAGTTTTCTCTTCAAAACCATAGCGACATCAGCAAATTAGATAAAAAACATAATAATCTCGTCTATTCTTTTTTTTTCGAATCAATTGTAGGCGACCGTGCAAATGCATTTTATACTGTACCAGAATACAATAACGTTTAATAATTTCAACAAATCAACATCGAAAACAACTGAGTCAGAAATTCTGAGAAAAATCTAATAATGAATGCTATCTTGTTTATGTACTAATCAAATTGTTGTTGTCAATATATTTCAATAACACAAATAAAGCAAAGCGAGAAAAATGAATAAGAGAGAGAGAGAGAGAAAAAATCCATAATTTGTTCGCTTATGATAAATCACCGGGATTCCCGATTAGAGAGCAGGTCATTTAAATTAAATTAGCATGAACGCCGACAGACATGAGAAAGAGAGATGGGAAAAAAATGCTAATTCACTACAAATACACACAAAGATTTAATCTTTCGGCCGGTGTGTGTACGTGCGGAAATGTGCTGTTGTGTATCATAAGTCGTAAAGCAATATGTCAATGTGTATAATATATATGCATATAGAATGACCACTATTGATTCGTGACATTCATGCTACTATGTGAGAGAAGGAAAAAAAAACAGTGTATAGCCCTGGTACTCGTATTGTTTTTTCTTTCATTGTTTATTTGCTCATCATATTTATTCATAAATTGGCCGATTCATTTGTCATTGCTGCTATGTGTTGAACATACGTGTGTCGTTGTTTCAATTTTGTGTTTGCCATTCTAACTTAATGCGTGTTAGTCTATCTTTGAAGCAACAACTAAAAACAACCTTACATAAGTGACAATCTTCTTTCGGTCAACTGTTTGAGAATACAATCATTTTTGTGTGTTAATTTTTTTTTGTTGTCATATTTTGCCACGACACCGATCCAAACGAATGTTTCGTGAGATAGTGGCCAACAGATAATATTCTTTTTCTATAAAAGTATCTCATTTTGTGAATATAAATTTAGTCGCTGTTCATTACATCACAAGACACGTAACATTTCATTTATACTGGGAGGTGATTTTTCAAACAAGTTTCATTCTACTCAAACAACAAACGATATATAGTTGGACGAAATTATAAAAATATTAAAGAGAAAAATGCAGCGGATTTCGCCGCTAGTGGCTTTTGTTGCCCTATCATCGCTGTTGATTGGCTATGTCAGTTGCGTCGGGTGAGTACATTTATATAAAGGATAAAGGTTATTTACACAACGATTTCTAACTGCATCGGAAATACATTTTTTTTCTTGGTGAACAAATCTTGCGAAAGGCATTGAGTGAAAAAAAATATATAAACGCTGAATTTCCTTTCAAAATTGCCTCCAACAAAGAAAAGAAACAACAATTAAATTTTAAAAACGAAAATGCCATGAGTACTTCGACGAATTCAAGCGTCGGTGTACCTTAAAAGAGATATTGCATTTTACTGACGGTTGAAATAGCCTTGAACCAATCACAATCTACACGAATCGCACCACACCGTACACAATGTAGCGATTCTTATATACATCTTGAATATTGACGTAATATTTGTTGTTGTTAATTTTTTGTTTTGCTAATTTCCAAATATGACATATACTTGCATAGAGTTTTTGGAAACCGAAAAAGTTGATAATAATGAAATGAAACACAAGCATTTAGTATCATTTGTTCTTTCAAATTATCTTTGAGTCGAAAAACTTGACCTGTATTGAATGTTGTTTAACTTGAATTTTTGTTTGCTTTCAAATGAAAAGAAACAAATGATTTTCATCAAAGAAGAGCACTAAATTACTTGTTGTTTTTACAGTTTTTATACAATCGTCGCTCCCGAACACATTCGTTCACATTTGGATTATCAAGTATCGTTAACACTTCATGATCACACTGAACCGGCAACCTTTCGCTTGAGCATTCAAGATGGCTTGAAATATAAAAATGAAAAAGAAGTCACGGTCAATTCAAACCAAACGGAATTGGTTACGTTGCGAATTGAGGATTTGGATTTTTCGAAGGGGTATAAATTTGTGGCAGAGGGCATCTCTGGACTTATTTTCAAAAATGAGTCAGCATTGAAAATTGAATCGAAAAATGTATCGATTTTCATCCAGACCGACAAGGCCATTTATAAGCCTGAGGAAACGATCAAATTCCGTGTTTTGGTGCTTGATCATGAATTGAAACCGGTGACGCTGCAATCAGATAGCCTTCTCAACATTCATATCACCGATCCGGAGAAAAATCGTATCAAGCAATGGCTCAAGGTGACACCAAAACGAGGCGTTTTCACCAGCGAAATTCAACTATCTGAATTGCCAGTGCTTGGAAATTGGAAATTCGAAGCTAAAGTTGGACAAGAGATCAAAACCAAAGAGATCGAAGTAGCTGAATATGTTTTACCGAAATTCGACGTCTCAATCGATTCACCGACGGAATTTTCGGCAAAAGATGGTAAAATCCGTGCCATTGTTCGTTCAAAGTACACTTATGGTAAATTGGTAAAAGGAGAAGCGATTGTATCACTAACACCAACAGTGTCGTATTCATATCGACCGCACATCAGTCACAACCAAGATAGTATTTTGAAAACCATTCCAATCGATGGCAAAGGAACTGTTGAATTCGATGTTGAAAATGATTTGAAGTTGGAATTCCCCGAATACACACAACAGAAAAACTATGAACTGAAGGCAACGGTCATTGAAGAGTTGACTGGTCGCAATCAGTCGACATCAAAACACATTACCATCCATCAATCCCGTTACAAGTTTGAGTCACATGAATTGAAAAATGAATTCAGTCCAGGATTGCCAATTACATTCTCGGTCAGCGTAAAGCATCATGATAATTCACCAGTTTTGCTGAATGAGGAAACCAAATGGATCACAGTTGGAAAAATCGTTGATCGATACAATTCAAACGAGCGTGTTACATACCATAAATTCGAGCTGAACGCAAACGGTACTGCGGATATCAGAATACCAACGTTTACAAACGAAACACAATTATATTTACAAGTAAGAATTCCTTTTTCCGTCCATGTAAATTTTTATTCACAAGCGAGAAGAGAAAAAAATAAACAATATCATTCTTTTCAGGCTAAATATGTAGACGAAGAATCAGATTTGGGCTTTTTCTATCCACTTACAATTGCTGAACCATCCGAACTAGAAGCTAAAATCTTGACGAAACGGTAAAATGCTTGCTCTAAATCGGAATAAATATTTTCGTTTATGATAAAAGAATGTCACGTAATGAACCTAAATAATCTCTTTGCAGTCCGACCTTGAACAAAAATATTTTTGTCGAAGTGCAATCGAGCCATTTACTTCAAAACTTCACATATCAGGTGATTGGTCATGGAAAATTGATTTACGCTGAGAATGTTGCTGTGCCAAATCGCAAATATCACGTATTCAAATTCAAAGCAACCTTTGATCTCGTTCCAACCGCCACATTGATTGTTTATCGCTTCAAAAATGGTGAAATCGTCGCTACGAGAACCGAAGTCACGATTGAAGATGATTTGAATAACTTCGTCAAATTGAAGTTGTCAACTGCGGAGTCTCAACCAGGCAAAGATATCAATGTCGATATAATCACAAGCCCTGATTCATATGTTGGTTTAATGGGAGTCGATCAAAGTGTGTTGTTGCTGAAGAAAAATGATGGTTTGACCAAAGAAGAAGCGTTCAGTGAAATGAAAAATTATCAACACCAATTCCATCCAACCGAAACAGGACCATGGAGCGTTGAACCACGCAACTATATGAATGATTATTTCAGACCATTCGAACGCAGCGATTTCATTCTCTTTACCAATGCCAAGCAAGATATCTACAAATACTTTCAGGATAGATACTATTCAACCACTCCTATTTACAGAAAATATCATGTCAATAGATTAGGAGGTGGATTTGGTTTGGCAATGGCAGCACCAGCAGCACCACAGGCATTCGCTGCCGTGGAAAGTTCATTTGCAGATAGAGCAACGCTTGAAGATGCTATTGATTCAGGACCAATTGAACCGCCGAGAGTTCGTACTGAGTTCCCCGAAACGTGGCTGTGGGAAGATATTGATGTGAATAATCCAAATGGAACTGTTACGCTGACGAGAAAGGTGCCAGACACAATCACATCATGGGTCATTAGCGCTTTCTCAGTTAATGGAGCAAACGGACTTGGTTTGACGAAGAACCCGAAAACGTTGAATGTCTTCCAGCCATTCTTCGTGTCTCTGAATCTTCCGTACTCAGTGAAGCGAGGTGAAGTGGTGGCAGTGCCGGTCGTCTTATTCAACTATTTGAACACGGATCTCACCGCCGATGTGGTGCTGGACAATGAGAACGGTGACTTCGAGTTTGTGGACGATGTCGAAGGCGAACATTCAACAAGAGAACGAACAGTATCAGTTGCATCGAACTCTGGTGTCTCATCAACATTCCTCGTCAGATTCACATCGGTTGGACAGATTCCACTGAAAGTGACGGCCACTTCGGCCGTTGCTGGCGATGCAGTTGTCCGAATCTTGCAAGTTGATCCGGAAGGTGTTCCACAATTCATCAACAAAGCCGTGTTCGTTGACCTGCGAGAGGTGGACAAGTTCGATGCTGTTCAAAACGTCGATGTTCCCGAGAATGCCGTACCTGGTTCATTGAAAATCAATGTAAACGCAATTGGCGATTTGCTCGGAGGAGCTATCCAGAACTTGCATCAGCTCATTCGATTGCCCACTGGCTGTGGAGAACAAAATATGCTAAAATTTGTTCCAAATATTGTCGTTTTGGACTATTTGAAAGCTGCCGGCAATCTCGATCCGGCTATCAAAGACAAAGCCATCAAATATTTATTGAGTGGATACCAACGCGAGTTGACCTATCGCCACAACAATGGTTCGTTCAGTTCATTCGGTAAACTGGATCGTAAGGGTAGCACCTGGTTAACGGCATTCGTTGCAAAGTCATTCAAACAAGCAGAAGACTACATCGACGTCGATAGCAAAGTGATCGACGAAGCTTTGAAATTCCTCAGTGACGTGCAAGCCGCCGATGGAAGCTTCCCAGAATTCGGACAAGTTTCACATCAAGTTATGCAAGGTGGATCCAGCAAGGGAATCGCTTTGACTGCATACACAGCAATTGCTTTCTTGAAAAATAAGGTAACTTCTTCCGAAGAGAACAGAAGGAATATTTTGATATTTGGATAACATGATTTACTTTTACAGAAATCAAAGGATTGGAAATATGAAGAGACAGTGAATAAAGCAATTAATAACATCGTATCGAATATCAAAGATATTGACAATCCATATGCTCAAGCAGTCGCCGTCTATGCTTTGCAATTAGCCGATCATCCAACAAAAGATCAAGCTTTGGACGATTTGATCAGCAAATCAAAAATCAAAGGTATGTTTTTTGGGTCAATTGAAAACAAGAATTTGACGACATGACTGTAGTGTATGTAACGAATCTTTCAATTTTCTTACAGATCAACATAAATGGTGGACTAAATCGAAGCCAAATGAACGTCCATCGGAATCGATTGACGTTGAAATCACCTCGTATGGATTGCTTTCACTCATTGAAGGGAAACGTTTCGCTGAAGCTCTTCCATACTTCAAATGGTTGTTGAGCAAACGAAATGACCAAGGTGGTTTCATTGGAACACAAGATACCGTTATTGGGTTGGAGTCTTTAGCAACATATGGTCGATTCCTAACCAACAAAGACAACAATGTTGAGCTAAAAGTGCATTCCACCGAAGACCATGTTCTAAAGGTGAACAATGTGAATGGGCTGGTACTGCAAAGAATCGATTTGCCATCGAACACAGAATCAGTAGAATTGGCTGCCTCCGGCCATGGATTCGCCTTATTCCAATTGTCGTACCGATACAATCTGAATAACAGTGATGTTTATACCACATTCACACTAAAACCCAAAGTACTCGAAACTACGGCGGGCCATTTGAATGTTGAAGTTTGCTCAAGGTTTGTGTGCATTGTGTTTTATCAAACAAAAAGCGGTTTTCATATTGAAAATAAATTTTTTCAGATTTAATCCAAAGAGTGAAGATGAGAAACATTCGAATATGGTGATCGTAGAAGTGGGAATGCCGAGCGGTTTTCTCGTTGAAAAGGACCGATTGTCTGAACTTCTGAAAAAGCCACATGTTAAGTTGGTAGAGACCACAAATGGCGAAACAGTTGCAAACATTTACTTCGATCAAATGTTGGCAAACGAAGAGATTTGTGTGCAAGTTCAGGGATACCGATCGCACAAAGTTGCCGAAAATAAGCCAGTACCAGTGCGAATCTACGACTATTATGACAGCTGTAAGTATTTCAAACATTAGTTCTATTTGAACTAACAACTAATCTTTTCCCTTTTTGCAGCACGAAGCGCACGAGAATTCTATGAAATTCCATTTGTTACTTCTTGTGACATCTGCGAAGGCGATGAATGCTCAAAGTCATGCAAAAAATAATTTGCAATTTCAACGAACTTTGTTTCCGTAATCAGGGCCAATATGATCCCGACAAAACTGAGCTTAAGCTCATTCAAGAATTGTTGAAAAAATATGTTCAAATGTTGAAATAAATTATCAATTCAAATAAACACAAACTAGCTTTTTGTTGATAATTTTCTACAATTTCAGCTGTATAAAAAAGCACTTAATTCTAAGCGTTTTTAGAAGAAAACTGAATATGACTAAAACAAAACAATTTTGTTGTTTAAATGTGTTCATTGGTATTAAGCCAAGTCCACGCATTACATATGCGACGCCTAAGTATTAATGGGTGAGAAATTGAGAGTTCGTGTATGTTCTTTCCATGACTTATATTTTGATAAATTAGAGTATGTTTCACTCATAATTTTTTGCCATTTTTAATTTATCATTAAGAATTATCGAACTGGTGTCTTCGCAAAAATTGTTGATTTTGTCAAACTGTATAGCTTTGCAAAAGTCAATGAACTTATATTTGCTCACCACTTCAAAACATACTCTTCCTTTTCCAATATAGAGTCTTTGAAACATACACTAATTTTAATCTCACACAATTGGAATTTGAAAGAGCTCATGCGATTTATCTGTTTAGCCGAAATTTCTAAAGAGAAAATAGTTTGATCAATAATCGACTATATTGGAGTCATTTTTGTGGCGTCTCCACTCGCATTTAACGTCCATTGTAGAAGCTTACTGGTCAAAGTTCAACCATCAATGCAAACATATGGAAGTGGAGGAAATGACGCCAAGCTGCACGAGGTTATTTACAGAGTTATTCTGGTTCCTTTTGAAATTATCAGGAAATTTGTTCTGCATATTTTCCATATAAACTGCGTATACCACGTATATTAATATATACTGGCGAACGAAGATGAAAGAGACGATAAAGGTTATCGTTCTTCGAATGGAGAAGACGTAATAGCGCGTTTGGGTTTTTCTGTTTACTTTTTTTCTTCAACCTGATTTCTTCGAATTTATTCTCTGAGAAGATGCCTTACGTAATCTGTGAGCTGCCCAATAATCAAGTCTGTACGAATTGTTTTTGTTTTCTTATATGAGATACCGGCTAGAAGATAAAGTTGGGTTTGTTTTAAAAACATTTTACATCTTGACTTTAAGTTTAGTTTAGTTTAAATCTTCACATCACAAAGACCACAGCTATTGAGTGATTTTACATTGGAATTAATTTTTATTTTTAAAAACAAGTCAAACTGAATTGAAAAATGCAGCGGATTTCACCGCTAATAGTTTCCATTGGTGTTCTATCGGTATTGATTGGTTGTGTCAGTTGCGCTGGGTGAGTATATCAATTGGATGTAAAACATGAATTTAAATTACTTCTTACTGTTATTCCCAATTGTGTTGTGAATAACCAGTTTGAACTTATTTAAGCCATAAAATTGTTTTCTTTAAACCCACATCAGATCAAAAATGTCAAAACTCGTGTTGAATACGAGTAGCTCTTGCGAAACGAATAATTTTTGTTGTGGTTGTTTTTCCTAAAGCATTTTCCAAGTGTCACACTAACTCAAAGACTTCGAGTTTTTATTTTTTATTTTAGTCAAAGCATATGTTTGAATCTTGAGAACATTGATAATAAAATGAATTTGTTATCTCAATAGAATTGCTTGATAAGAAGTCGAAAAATTTGACCCGATAAGAAGTTGTTAGTCAATAACATAGATTTTTCGACCTTTACTTCAAAATAAGACATTATGTGCACACTAAGTAATATGTTGTTTTTTTTTCCTAAACAGCTTTTATACAATTGTTGCACCCGAAAACATTCGTTCGCATTTGGATTATCATGTTTCGTTAACGCTTCATGAGCACACTGAACCGGCCACATTCCGCTTGAGCATTCAAGATGGCTTAAAATATAAAAATGAAAAAGAGATCACGGTCAATTCAAATAAAACAGAACTGGTGACATTGCGGATCGGTGATTTGGACTCATCAAAGGGCTATAAATTCGTGGCTGAGGGCATCTCTAGTTTCATTTTCAGAAATGAATCCACACTCAAAGTTGAATTGAAAAATGTATCTATTTTCATCCAGACTGATAAGGCCATTTATAAGCCAGGAGAATCAATTAAATTCCGGGTTTTGGTTCTCGACAATGAATTGAAACCAGCTGCACTCACACCGGAAAGCCTGCTTAGCATTCATATCACTGATCCGGAGAAAAATCGTATCAAACAATGGCTTAAGGTAACACCAAAACGTGGTGTTTTTACGAGTGAGATTCAACTATCTGAACTGCCTTTGTTGGGCTATTGGAAAATCATAGCTCAAGTTGGAGAAGAGATCAATACCAAAGATGTCCAGGTGGCTAAGTACGTGTTACCGAAGTTTGATGTTTCAATCGATTCACCAAACGATTATTGGGCCGGAGATGGAAAAGTTCGAGCTATTATTCGCTCTAAATATACGTATGGCAAATTGGTGAGAGGAGAAGCAATCATATCACTTACACCAAGACGGCACTATGGTTTTTGGTACAATCGGGAAAAAAGTGATAGCATCTTGAAAACAATACCAATCGATGGCAAAGGAACCGTTGAATTTGATTCGTTTATACTCGCATTTTCAGAGGACACCGATAGACATATGTTTGAATTAAAAGCCACCGTCGTAGAAGAACTGACTGGACGCAATCAAACTGCATCAAAAACTATCACCATCCATAAAAACCGTTACAAATTCAATACGATGGGGTTGAGTCGTGTTTTCACTCCAGGATTACCAGTCACTTTTTCGGTAAGTTGAACGAATTTTTATTGACTAAGAACATTAAGCAGTTAAGCATCGCATTTTGAATTAAAATTTCAAACAATTTAAAATGTGCAGCTGGGTGTGAGTCATCATGATAATTCACCAGTTCTGTTGAACGAAGAAACTAAATGGATTCAAATTGGAAAAATAGCTAATCGACATAGAACCGATGAAGATGGTGTCTACTACAAGTTTGAGTTGAATAAAAATGGCACTGCTGATATTAGAGTACCAACAATGAGGAACGAAACGCACTTCGATCTGCAGGTACAAATAAGTGTTTAAAAATTTGAGAAGCTTTTCTAACGGTTGTCATTTAGGTGAAATATTTAGATGAAGAAAAACGTCTGGGCTACTTCTATCCACGTACAACCGATGAACCATCCGAATTGGAGGCGAAAGTAATATCAAAGCGGTAAAATTATACAAGAATTTGGTTTTGTTATCTTTAACTAATTGGTATCTATTCTTCTACAGTCCCACATTGAATCAAAACGTTCTCGTTGAAGTGCAGTCGAAACGCTTGCTTCAGAATTTCACTTATCAAGTGATCGGCCGCGGGAAACTAATTTATGCTGAAACTGTTGCTGTTCCAAACCGCAACTATCATGTTTTCAAATTCAATGCCACCTTTGACATCGCTCCAAAAGCAACAGTGATCGTTTATCGTTTTAAGGACAATGAAATTGTTGCCACCAAAACTGAACTAACGATTAACGATGATTTGAACAATTTCGTCAAACTTAAGCTATCGACACCAGAGGCACAACCAGGCAAGGATATTAACATTGACGTAATTACTAAGCCCGAATCATACGTCGGTTTAGTAGGAGTCGATCAAAGTGTGCTATTACTAAAAAATAACGAGGATTTGAGCAAAGAACAAGCTTTCCGCGAATTAGAATACTATCAACATTCCAAACACTACACTGGAAATGGTCCATGGAGTGTTGAACCACACAACTATATAAATGATTATTTCAGACCTTTTCAACAGAGTGGCACAATTCTTTTCACTAATGCTAAAAAAGACGAATACCGGTACCAATTAGTGAATAGAGTGGTTTATTATGATGAGCCATTGATTCAAGAAGATGCTATAGATATACGATTTCAAGCCATGCCAGCTGTATCTAGTTATCAACACCAATATGAGGCAGTTTCCTATTCGCAAACAGCACCAGTCGAACCGCCAAGAGTTCGTACTGAGTTCCCCGAAACGTGGCTGTGGGAAGATATTGATGTGAATAATCCAAATGGAACTGTTACGCTGACGAGAAAGGTGCCAGACACAATCACATCATGGGTCATTAGCGCTTTCTCAGTTAATGGAGCAAACGGACTTGGTTTGACGAAGAACCCGAAAACGTTGAATGTCTTCCAGCCATTCTTCGTGTCTCTGAATCTTCCGTACTCAGTGAAGCGAGGTGAAGTGGTGGCAGTGCCGGTCGTCTTATTCAACTATTTGAACACGGATCTCACCGCCGCTGTGGTGCTTGACAATGAGAACGGTGACTTCGAGTTTGTGGACGATGTCGAAGGCGACCATTCAACAAGAGAACGAACAGTATCAGTTGAATCGAACTCTGGTGTCTCATCAACATTCCTCGTCAGATTCACATCGGTTGGACAGATTCCACTGAAAGTGACGGCCACTTCGGCCGTTGCTGGCGATGCAGTTGTCCGAATCTTGCAAGTTGATCCGGAAGGCATTCCACAATTCATCAACAAAGCCGTGTTCGTTGACCTGCGAGAGGTGGACAAGTTCGATGCTGTTCAAAACGTCGATGTTCCCGAGAATGCCGTGCCTGGTTCATTGAAAATCAATGTAAACGCAATTGGCGATTTGCTCGGAGGAGCTATCCAGAACTTGCATCAGCTCATTCGATTGCCCACTGGCTGTGGAGAACAAAATATGCTGAACTTCGTTCCAAATATTGTCGTTTTGGACTATTTGAAAGCTGCCGGCAATCTCGATCCGGCCATCAAAGACAAAGCCATCAAATATTTATTGAGTGGATACCAACGCGAGCTGACCTATCGTCACAACAACGGTTCATTTAGTGCATTCGGAAAGAGCGATAGAAAGGGTAGTACTTGGCTAACGGCATTCGTTGTAAAGTCATTCAAACAAGCAGAAGACTACATCGACGTCGATAGCAAAGTGATCGACGAAGCCTTGGAATTCCTCAGTGATGTGCAAGCGGCCGATGGTAGCTTCCCAGAATTCGGATATGTATTGAGCAAAGCCATGCAAGGTGGATCGAGCAAAGGAGTCGCTTTGACTGCATACACAGCAATTGCTTTCTTGAAAAATAAGGTAACTTCTTCCGAAGAGAACAGAAGGAATATTTTGACATTTGGATAACATGATCTACTTTTACAGAAATCGAAGGATTGGAAATACCAAGAGACAGTGAATAGAGCAATTATTAACATCGTATCGAATATTGAATATATCAACGACCCATACTCACGAGCAATCGTTGCATATGCACTGCAATTGGCTGATCATCCAATGAAAGATGAAGTGTTGGATAATTTGGTTGACAAATCGATGAATAAAGGTAAAAAGGAACATTTCAAACTCAGCAAATGAATTATTCTTCATATATTGATTTTCCTCTTTAGATCAACACAAATGGTGGACAACGTCGAAACCAGATGAGCGACAGTCGAAATCTCTTGATGTCGAAGTCACTTCATATGGACTGCTGGCACTGGTTCACGCCAAACGATCGGCCGAAGCTCTGCCATATTTCCGATGGCTTTTGGCTCAACGAAATGAAAGAGGCGGCTTTTTCGGTACGCAGGATACGGTTGTAGGATTAGAATCTCTGGCTACCTACAGCCGATTCTTAAAATCTAAGGATAATGATGTCCACTTGAAAATTCACGCCGGCACAATCGAAGATCGTGTGTTGGAAGTAAATGACGAAAACGGATTGGTGTTCCAATCGGTCGATTTACCATCAAATACGTCATCTGTTCAACTGTCTGCTTCTGGCCATGGTTTCGCCTTATTCCAATTGTCATACCGATACAATCTAAAGAACAGCGATATTTACTCCACATTCACACTGAAACCAAAAGTACTCGAGACCACACGCGGCCACTTGAATGTTGAAGTTTGCTCAAGGTTTGTGTGCATTGAGCTTTATCAATCGGGTGGCAGTTTTCATATTGAAAAAATCATTTTTCAGATTTAATCCAAAAAGCGAAGATGAAAAACATTCGAATATGGTGATTGTGGAGGTGACCATGCCGAGTGGGTTCCTCATTGAAAAGGATCGATTAGATGATCTGTTGAGAAAACCACACGTAAAATTGGTGGAAACAAAGAGTGGCGAAACCGTTGCCGACATTTACTTCGATCAAATGCCACCAAATGAAGAAATCTGTCTGAATGTTCAAGGGTATCGATCGCACAAAGTGGCCGAAAACAAGCCGGTACCAGTGCGAATCTATGATTACTACGACAGCTGTAAGTATTCAAATGCAAAATGCAAAAGAGGAAGTTCAAATCGACCAGTCCATTCATAATATCTGATTTTTTGCAGCTCGAAGCGCCAGAGAATTCTATGAAATTCCATTCATTACATCTTGTAATATCTGCGAAGGCGATGAATGTTCAAAATCATGTAAAAAAGAGTTAAATTTGAGTAAATAAATTCATTTTATCTATACAATATGTACCAAAAAACAATCCGACTTTTGTTTGCATCGAATTGTACCCCTGAAGTGCAACAGATGAAGACCAATTCGATATTAACGTTTTTATATGTTCACGAAATCAGCAGTAGGGAATGTTACTACGTAGAAATGTTGATACCAATGAGAATCCCCGACCATGTTCATTTTAAAATAACGCCCACCATAAATACACATTGCATTAATTATGGTGCTTTCCATTATTTAAAATGGCAATGAAAGTGGAAAAATTTGCATAATCTGTCGATAAATTTAAATATTCCATCAACATAATGAATGCAGCATTAATTTGACAAACACTCAATGAAATCAACGTTCAGTGTATGTGTATATATTTCCAAAGAATTGGTTGACATTCGTCATTGTATTAAGTCAAAGATGATTCCCCATCTCCCTATATATAATCACCAATAGCAGTTACATTTATTGTGTTCAAATATAATTTTTATTCAAATCAATTGGAATCAATGAATATTTTTCGGAATTACGACGTCACCACAACCAAAAGTCGAAATAAATCAACGAACAAGCAGCCAAAAAAAGACAGCGTGCGCTCTTAATTGAATTGAATAAAGTGGAATTGATGGGTGAGGGCGAGAGAGTAGAATGAGGCAAAAACCATATTTGATTGATTCATCGTTTTGGCATCTGACATCTGGCATCTGTTATGTTCTCGTAAGACATAATCAAATACCATTTTTATGGCTACATTCGGTTCGCACCAAATTGTGGAAAAAACATAGTAGTTAGGATTAGCGAGAAAAAAGCGGGCAATTTTTTTCACACGCAAACATTCTTCGAAATTGAATTCATAAATCTCCATAGCTACGCAAAATCGCTTTGAATTGACGAAAACCATAGGTTGAGAACAAAAAGCAGTGAGAGAGAGAGAGAGAGAGAGAGAGAGAGAGAAAAGAAAGTGCGATGTTCCCCTTAAAAACTAGTGTTGACAAATTCTTGAAGTGTTTATCCATAGCAAACCAATTGAGTTTTGATGAAAATAGAAAATTCTGCCGTTAACAAGAGAAAAATTAGGGACGAAATATTAATAAAGAAACATTGACATCGTACACTCGTTTTTTTGTTTCTTCATTTTCCTACACTTACCTCGTGCTCGCTGCCTCTCTCTCTCTCTCTCTCTCTCTCTCTCTCTTTTTCGTTGCCATCAAATGAATATGGAACAATGTCGCTTGTTTTGTATGGAAAGAGAGTCAGAGAGGCGGTGGAAAACATTTTAAAATAAATTACGATTTAATAAATTTGATATTGTCGCAACTTTGAGTAATGACTCCGTTGAGGCACTGTTTTAAGCTGTGAGCGAGTGAGTGAGAGAGTGGGGGAATGAGAAAGAATTAGAGTAAAAACTGAGAAAAAGGGGTTATAAACGCGTAAGATACTTGAATTTGACGTTGAAAATAGAACCTGACACTTTCTGAGACGCTGTGATTCGGGCACATCTGCATATATGCGTAGACATTTTGGCGTATATCAGAGCAACAAAAAAAACGAGAATGAATAAAGTATGAAGAATATTTTCGTATATTCGAGCATTGAACCAAGAAAGCGCACGGCAGAAGGAAGAAACCTACGCTGCACATAAAAACCTGTATACCTGTCATGTTTCTTTGGTGTTTCGTTTTGAAGTTTAAATGGACCAAAAACTGAGGAGATAAAAGATGCAAGAGTATGTTAGAAATGAGATTGAGCAAGGAATTTTGTGTATGAATGAGGCAACAAATAGTGTGCCTGTGTTTCTAACGTCGGTTTCATAAGATTGTTCACATTGCTTTCGTGGAAAATGTGACTTGGCATTTGTATGACGGTCGCGTTTTTTGCTGCCTATCTACATCTCTCATTTTTTTTATGTGAATAATTAATAGCGTTTTTCTTGTATCGGATCTTTACCAGGTCTGCATGAAATCCACTTGGATTTGAAATGTTAAAGTTAAAGCATTTTACAGGACACCAACACACGTTCCAACCTTCACAGTGCTACGGGCTTGCATTTCATTAGAATCTTTTTGTGAATACATCGTACTCAGACAATGGTTAAGTCTGAAGACAACGAAATTGCGCTCTTAACGATTTTTTCCCTTTACAATTTAATTGAATAATTGTAAGAGAATAAACATACAACCGATAAAACGACGCTACGCACAGAATATTCTGTTATACGAAGCGCAGAGAATAAGTAGAAAGAATGGGGAAAATTTTCTAAGAAAATCGATTTTCACCTTACCTTTGTGTTTTGTTCCGTGCACGATCCTGATGCGATAAAAACAGCAGGTGAACCAGCATTATTGTGAGCAATAGCGTTTTGTATTGGATTATTTGGTGGCAGAATTTGTGACGTTCCGCCAAGATTATGCGATTGTGGTTGTGCCGCTGAAATTGATGAAATTATGAAAAAACATGGTGGGAAAAAGAGTTGACGGGAGCAAAGACAATGTGTTTTTGATTGTGGAGTTGTTGTTTTTCTTATTCTTCGTGTTCATCATACAAAAAATGATTGTTAATTGTTCTGACGAAGACGAAAGAAAAAGAGTTACAAGATTTCCACTTACGATAAGTTGGTGTGGATGATGGTGGCGGCACGGTTGCAGAAGCAACAACTGGTATTTGACCTTGGATCGGGACGAAACCCGGTGGCATTGCAGCAAATGGTAGCAGAAGCATAGGGTTTGAGCTTGATGTTGATGAGATCGGACGTAAATTACTTGCGCGTTGATTAATAGTTGGCGATTGGTTGATGGGTGCAATTGTTGTTATTGTTCCTGTGGAGGTCGATTGCTGCTGCTGCTGCTTCTGATGATGGTGGTGGTGGTGGTGATGATTCGTCGAAACTTGACTGGGGTGTAATTGATCAGTAGACGTATTCGGTTGAATCGTAGCGCAACGACACGAACTGGTCGATGTCTCAGTTCGTTGTGCTGTAACCAACAGTCGATTGACGGGAGGATGTGCGGATGTCGATGGATCAGTTAAAATGGCAGCCGATCGAATCGATGATGCGTTCGATGTTACTGTATACGGTGTCGCTTGTACACGTTGTATCTGGCCAATTGTTGGCTTCGGTATCTTTGGTGACCACACTGCACACGGTAAGAGCCCGACCAAGCGTAGCCCAACTGATGGGCTCGCGTCGGGTTGCGTTTGTGAAGTTATTTTTACTTAACTCAAAGATCGTTAACAAAAATTTCCCGTAGCGTTGCGATACACTTTGACCAGAGTGTTTACCTAACTTTTTCCACACGTTTCAATGAAAATGCTTTTCGCTTATTTAGTGCTCACGAATCAATTGCAATGCACGTAGAACCAACGTTTATTTATATAATTTTTTTCTTTCTGTCAGTTTTATTTCACAATTTCAAATGAGTGAAAAATAAGAAAATGAATTCACTTGCAACTTCCACTGCGATTGGCTATAAAACATAAAACAATATACAATATTTTCCGGCTTCCTTTATGTTTCTCTCCGTTTCAGTATTTGTTTTTCTTTTTGTATTTCAATCTGTTTTGATAATTTTTAAAGTAATCGCAAATGCACTTTGTCAAATCATATTTCAATTTTTACAATGAACTTCATTCGACTGTATCACAATCTTTATTATTTTTCTATTACACATTTTCTCCGCGCTTTCGTTTGTGAATGCATACATGTATTTTGCCGTTGGAAAAGTTTTATTTTTCGTTTTGATCGTCTCGCACATTCATGGTACAGTCCACAAGTACTATTATTTATTATAAGGCAAGATTCCGAGTGGAAAACAAGACGATTTTCTCTTTCTCTGTTCTTTTTATTTTTATATAACAATTCAGAATGCAGTTCTCGTTGTTTGCTGTTTATCGCAGTGTTCCGTATACTTTATCGCTTAGCCAGAGAAAAGTCGTTCGTTTGTTGTTCTTGATAGGTGGTCATGTACACTTGTGTTTATTTGTTTTCTTTTGTTCTTTCTCTTTCTTTTTCTTTTCCTCGGTGAATGTTTTTCTTTTCGATTTTCCGCTCACATTCGCCCTCTCAATTTTCGTGCTCGCCCTCTCGTTCTCTATCGGCCCAATTCGAAATTTTGACACGGAAAAAAAATCCCCGACCAATTTGTATAGTTGATAATGTTTGCCTATTTTGTGTACGTGGCTCACATCAAAAATACAAAACACATTTTTCGACAAACGACTTGAGAAACTTATTGGCCTCTTTATTGTTTATATTTCAATGTTTTTTTTCCCTCTTGTACGGTGGAAACAATGGCAGACAAAACGGGTGAGGTGGAAACAGTGTTCGACGTGCCAAACGAAAACTGATGATAAGTTACGTTTCTGGTCAGCTTTTCTGTTGTAATTTGCAGCGAAATGGTTTAGTGTTGTATATTCGTTTGTTTGCTTGCTTGTTTACGGCCTCTTTACGATGACGTCCACCTAAAATCAGTTCATAATTCTTTGAATATGATTTTCTTTTTGATTTTCAACTTGGTTTCGTTTTGACATTAGCACATTTAATAACACAATATATGAAGAATGGTTGGTTGGCCCAAATGCCGATGATCGATGGTCGAGCAAAAAATTATGCAAATTGATTTATTATTGAGGGCTCAAATAGCCTCACTTTTGAAAATTGCTACATTGAAAATAGAAGATCGCGTACGAAAAAGCAATGTTGTTACAATTTTGATTGCCGAGTTTATTGGGCAAATGCAGTGTATACCCACATTTAAACGTTGAAAATTCACGAGTGTCGGCGCCTCGTCATCTTCGGTATGTTTATTTTTCATTAACTGTCTACAAGCTCACAAAACATGCCTCTTTTATAGAGCCAGACATGTGTGTGCACGGACAAACGAAACAAAAGGATTTGCTACAGACGGAGAGAATGTGCGCACGGGGAAAAAGGAACGGTTTAAAATGAAAAATTTCCCATTCGTACGTACTAAATATATTTTGTTTCGAATGACAAGAGCAGACGTACGTTATATTTGCACTACAAAAATAAAACAATTGAGCATTACGTTGAGATGGCTGCGTCACTCACAGCCAAACCAAAATCTGCAACTGTATTCAGAGCATAACCAAGACGTTTTTTTCTCGATCTTAGAATTGATTTCATTTTTTCTGTTTCTGTATTTTTAATTCAGTTCAACAATAAAGGCTATCGAAGCGATATGTATGTGTGGTAAAAATAGTTTCAAATATCAAATATTTGTTTGTCGGATGTTTATTCAAGGATAATCCTGTGAAATAATAAAATAGCTTATAATTTGTAGGTTTATGACATGAGACATTATGCCGTAATGCATTTGGCATAAATCGGTTGGGTATTTACGGAAATAGCCATCAATCAAAATGAATTTCACTCTCTCTCTCTCTCTCTCTCTCTCTACATCTTTAAATCATTTTATAGCCACAATAAATGTGCTAGTATTGAAATCACACAATTTTTTTTTCTTCTCGCACAAACAAACATAAATAAATAATAAACCAATCGAGAATGATTTACACTTCAGTGATTTTACGTTCGTTGACAAACATGCAGCATAATGTAACCCAATGGTTTTGATGAAAAATTCGAAACATTTTTATATGTAAAAATGTTTGTACTGTTCGAGTTTTCATGATTTGAAAATGGAATTATTGCCGACGGCCGAAACAAATTGAATTTTCATATTTTTGTCCAACTGAAACGTATGAAATGTGCAGCAGCAGTACAAAAATTGCGCTCGCGCATTTTTCATTCCGATAATTGTTGTTGTTGTTGTTGTTGCTATTGCTGTTGACCCCATCCCTGATTGTTGTTTATCTCGACCCACTTACGACCGATGTGTCCATTGCAAAGCTATTACCAGCATTTTTTCAAAAAAAAAAAAAATCAAAACCAATAAAATGTACAAATCGAAAATATTAATGAGTTGCATTTCAATTATATGCCAATTGCGCTGAAGTAGATTGTGTATTTGTGCCATGAATCAAAATAGATCACGTATCTCGCATTAAGCAATGCAAATTGATGCAAAAATTAATGGAAATTATAATTAACAGAACAGAAAAATAAATACATTCATAAATAGAATGTTGTCCATTTGTTTTTGTCTACCCCCTCATCCTCAATAGAAAAAAAAAACAATTTTTCACAACGCATTTGAAATTTTTAATCGTAGCGAGTATACACAATTAATTAGAATGGCTACTCTATAATTAAACATCTCTATTCCCTTGGAAAAACTGGTTTTACACGCAAAAAAGGAAATTATTCGCGTTGCGGCAAAACTACAACTAAACCCAGAGAGATCAAGTGAGAGGTAGAAAGGGTGGCAGTCAAAAAAAATGTTTCCATTGCGCGATTCGATCAACGTTTAATGAAAAATTTGAAAATAAACAGTCATCGTATTTGTGTCAAGTTATGTTTGATTTTTCCGTCAACATACGATAAGAGGTCATCAGTAAATAAGAGCTTCAAAAGGGCATGAAGAAATGCAAAACATTTCAAATGGAAATTTGCATACCAACGATCTCTGAATAATTATCAAATTATTTCCATTCGAATGGAAGGCGGAGAAAATTTATTCCGTGCTGTGTGTATGCGTTTTTTTTTCCCGTTGTTGTTGTTTGTGAAAAGTTATATGCCGCGTTTCGTTTCATTACCGGACACGAGCCACCACAAAACCCCCGTACTGTGTGTTGATGGTGTACAAAAAATACATATTGTTTAATTTCCTCTGTGAAATTATCACTTTTTTCGCTCGACAATGAGCGACACATAAACTGGCTACCATTTGTCCGCACTCCCACACAAAAACACAAACACCAGTCAAATATAAAAGGAAATATTCTTGGGCTTATAAATTTTTTTAAAAGAATCTGTGTTTGATTTATGCTTTGATTCGATTTTAGGATGTATTGTGTTGCCGCAGTGCAGTGATCTAACTAACTCGAATGATAGAATGCCACCGCTTTTCTTGCTTCTTCTATTTCTCTTTCATTTTCTCTTTCTCTCTCTCCCTCAACAGACCAGAATTTTGGCTGGATGTTGTTTGATTTTGGTTTGCTCCTCGGATATTGTACAATTTACTCCCAATTCAAATCAATCAAGTCGGTGTGTGTTTATGCATTCATCGTTGTGATCGATAAAAGCAACATCGCCTTTGGTCTTGTTTATTTCCTTTTTGCATGCGGAATATTTTACTGAAATTAAACAAATCAACGGATTGTGTCGTGCGACACGATTTGCGATTCAATCAGGGTACACATTTTTCCATTTGCAACTTTTTTTCCCCGTTCGTTTGCAATATTATTATTATTGTTGTTGCTGCCGCTGCTGTTGAAACTCTCGGCTTCTTCTCTGTGTCATGCACTTCGATTTCGATCGCTGCATAAATACAGTTTAATCTCGAGTTCGCGCGACATTTGTTTACGTATTTATGGCTTCAGTTGAAAATATGGAAATGCAAATTTGGTGCATATAAACACGTAGCTCGAAGATTTTTTTTTTAATTTTTTGTCAATGAGTTTATTTATTTATTACTATGTGCAAAATGTATTGGATTTTACGATTGATCGCAATGCGTATGCTTGTGTGTTGAATGGGGGATGGAGGAATGGGATGGAACAGTGTGGTTTGTGCTCAATTGTGGCATGTTTTTGTTGTTATTTAAAAAATATATATATGATCATAGTTGCATTGCAGGATTTTTGTGCCCGTAGTGGCAATTAAATTTGATTTCACGCACGATAAATACGAGCTGGCTGTGTGTACAACATGCACTCTTCACATTTGCTCAATTCCACAGATGTGGTTTCTTCTGGAGCTGCCATTGTAATTTGTTCCAGCGAGGGTTTTGTATATAAATGTGTGTGTGTGTGTGTGTGAGGCAAACGTCTTCAGGAGCTTAAATGCACGATTTTTCTTCGTTGAATTGTTAGTCCTAAAAAGCAATTATTTCGTTGCAATTTATATTACCTCGAGAACTTTGACTGAATCCACTATGCGAATAAAACCCGTTTACTTGGCGCTTTTACTCGCACACTCGGCTAATGTGAATTAAGAAAGCGCGCATAAGAAGTGAATTAATACGATGTAATGGAATTCGTAAATCACCAGCACAGCGGAATTTAAAATGTGCATGTTTCAATTACATGGGATGGCGTTTAAATTAACAACTTTCAACCTAAACTGCAAAACATGTAGAAAAAACAATAAGAAACTCTCTTCGACTTCTCTCTCCCTCTCTTTCCCCGGTCTGAGTCGCGGTTTTTCTTTTACCTTCAGTCGAATGCATCGACAATATTTGGGTATTTAGCGATCATGGGATATCAGCACAAACAATGCATTTTTCACAAACAATAGTGCGCGCTCGAGTACCTAATTACTGTCCTTGTGCACTTGCAAACGAGATCGCTTTCACATACACTCACTCACTCACTCACTCACCATGCAACAATATCACTCGCAATCTATGAAAGTTGACCGTAATTTTTGACAATCACCTTGGTGCTTAAGAAGCCAAAGTCTGATGCTAATCAGAGAATAAAGTCACTCGTTGTAGTTGTTGTTATGCGTATTATTCAAATACAGAAAGCCATAAAAAACGTACGAAGGAAAAAGAAACAAGCCAAATGCTCAGCCTTTGATAATCACATGGATTTATACGGTAGTCGATGAAAGTGACGCTTCCGATACAACACGTCTTTAGCCCGATGAAAATATCAACAAAACGCAATCGCTATTTCACGTAGGATACACACAAATGCCGGTTTTATACTGAACACTTGATTGTAACGAACGACCGCTGCAAGGCGTTGTAGAAAATCAGTTTACTCTCTTCCATCCACAAAATTCATCTCCATCAAAAATACGTGTAACGTGTGCAGAAGCGTTCAGTATTTTTGGGGTCACACGCACGCATGCACACAGAAAGAGAGAAAAGCGAAAATCGGTTGGCGTTTTCGTTGTCGTTGTTGCCTTCATCATCGTCGAAAAACGGCCCGAAAACAGAGAGAACCAAGGAGCAAAGAGCCATACAACTCTACACAGGAACAATCCGTTGGTTGGCTGGCTGTGTAAAGGCAAATAAACTAGTCGGAAAAGAGCGAAATGAAAAGAAGAAAAACGATTTTCCGACTGTAAAACCCAGTGTGTGCGTTCGTTGCGGCTTACTCTACACTAGATGAGCATAACCGTATAATACCATAGCCATGCAATGCAATGCCACCCATTCAGCAATCCACTTGAGCAGTAGATTCAAACAATACATCTTACCAATGTAGAGCGTACAGCGTCCACAATGTGAAAATAATTTCGACAGCAAGAGAGACAGAGACAGAGAGAATAATACAAGTAGCGTACAGCTGCTCAAGGGCGGAGTCTGCAATTGTCTTATCGAATCGGAGTGGGCGCCGTCGTTTGAAAGTGCAACCACGCTTCGAATGCAAACGATGAAACGATTTCAATGGCATGAAAAATCGAAAACTATGAAAAAAGGGCGCGTAATAGTGAACACCAATAGTGTGGCGAGTGTGTGCCAATCAAATCGAAACCAGCTTCAGAATGTGAGACCTTCAAACCAGACAAATATCCGATGACATTTTCAAATTTCTTCACTCAATGCACTGTGCCACGTATGAACGGCATGAATTTACCGCATTTATATCGGAGCCCTCCGTTGTTTACGACTTGTATCGCTACGGCTGCACTGGTATTTAGCACGTGGTTGTTTAGACAGGCGCGCAATACACAATACACAATACTCACTCCATATGGCCCGTCGATGTTGTTTTGCACTGTACTATAGGCCGTATCTATACACATTCAGCTTCTTGGGTATACGGTACGCATATATTTATTGTCTGTCGTTGTTTTGCCGTTTTCATTTCGGTTATGTTT